GTTAGTTTCCTCGAGTCTGGCTGCCTGCAGCGTCTTGCAGGTATGTTTGTGAGAGTAAGGAGGTTCAGACAGAAGAGAGCACTCCGTTCACTGCTAAGATGGAATAGGGGCTACTGCTAAGTCAGTTTCTTAGTATGTGTAAAAGCAGTTGTGTGGGTTAAATTGATGCAGCTATTGTGATGGAACATTTGGTGAAAAATCCTGGTGCTTGCAGTGCTGAAATTCCTTTGCATTTCCTGGAGATTTCTTGTTTGTTTGTGAATACAAATCATCACTTGTTTCTTTACAACACTACTTCTGCTCCCACATGAGGAGTAGGACCCAGAAGTCAAAACTTGCAAAACCTTTTCCTTCTTTCTCCGGGCTGAGCCGCAGAACTTGGACATTCAAAGAAACCAAATAGACAGAATTGCCAAGTGTAAGCAGTAATGAAGAAATTTGAAAACTGGGAAATGAAGGAGACTGTACCTAGATGCTCACCTCCAAGAGAATTTGTCTTATGTTCGTTTGTTGGCTATTTGTGGGACATCTTGGGAAAAGGGAGGGTTGTAGTACATACAAGGAGTTTTCTGTACACAACGGATTTGAGAAGATTGCAGCTAATGATCTTTGCTGGTTGTCTGTACTTATTTCCTTGCTTTTCTTTCCTGTGTGGTCTGGTTATGGATGCATGTTTTTCCATCAAGGTGTCTGGCAAATTCCTTGTGCTTCCTCTGCCTCATCTGGGAAAGTGCATGGCTGTTTGGTGTGTCTCACCTGTGTGTCTCCCTTTTTCCAGTCACTGTATTTGCTGTCCTCATGTCAGTAAACTTGGCAGTGTTAAGTAACTTCAAATGCTCAGACTTCTTCACCAATATGTGTAAGAGAGGGATTTTTGTTTTCCCATTTGAAGACATCATCTTCCAGTGTAACAATTATTAGCAGTGCCTTTCTGCCTGGAAACTTCTTTCCATATGTGAACATTTCCCCAGCATGACTGGCAGCACTGGGATTCTGGTGGAGGTTCCACAAACTACAGTGGATACCTCTAGTCTGGAAGGTCCTGTTCCTGAATTGGAGGTTCACAAACAACTGGTTCAGCTTATTTGTCAAAGATGATGTCGTGCCTCACCCTGTTGTACAAGTATTTACATTTATCTGATTTTATTCGAGCTGACAACTGGCTATAAACTAGTTTTTGGCAGATGAGGAGGGACTAAGGTGGTCTGTCCTTTCTGCTAGTTAGCTCCCTGTGTTATCTTGCTGTGATGCTGGCTGGGTGCTAGTGCCAATGCAGAAGGGGGGCTGAAGACTTACAATGGGAACTGGAGCTGAGGAGAAGGCTGTTGCTGCAGTCTCATCTGGAACAGAGCTGCCAGCAGGAGGGGGGAGCTGCTCCCCTCCCAGCACCCTGCTGCTCGCCTCGTGTTCATGTCTGAGTTTGCTGAACCTCTTTTGAGGTGATTCAACTCACTAGCCAAGGCAAACGTTTTGCTGATTTATTAAATCAGCTTGGGAGTGGGCCTGTAGCTATGTGAGAGGGAAGAACAGCATTGCCAAGGTTTGGAAATGTATTAAAAAGGGTTTGGGGAAAATGAGTTGATGTTAATTGCCGTGACCAGGCTGAATTACCATGAGTACAAGAGAATGAACCTGTTCTAGGTAACATTAACCATGTGACTCTCAGAGGTATTGTGGATCATTGGAAATAGAAAAAGAGCAAGCAGGAGCTTATGGAACAGGCAACTGGACGTGTTAAAAGTATGACAAATTCTGACAGACTATAATTACTTCTCAATTGAAAAAAAAAGTTAAAGTGTTTTTGTCCAATTTTTTTTTTTTTTTTTTAATTGGTTCACCACTTTACATCCTATGGGCTGTGGTATTTTTAAGCAACAATTTTTGTTGTGGTTCAGATGTAACCTTTTGTGGGCTCTGAGCAAACATTTGTTCTTCCTGGCTGGCACAAACAAAAGTTATTCTGAAACTCTGCTACTTTAATTAGAAGAATAAACTACAGATAGGTCTCTCAGGTGGCAGATAATATGACAACTTTTGCTGTGACTTCCCCTGCTCATTTCTAAGATGTTTTTCCTTTTGCTTTAAGTGAGTGTAAGTACTTCTTTCCAACATCTTATAGTTTGATGCAATTAAAATGCTTATTTATGATGTATATAGAAAGGAAAATAGGAACATATTAAAGTAATTATTTTAAAAGAAAAAGAGGTAAATTTGAATTGTATCTGCCCCGTCATAGCTTAAACTGTAAAATAGTTGCCTTGCTTTGAAAGGAGCTCCTCTTGTATTTCTTTCCTTAGGGTTATTAGTATAGTTCCTTACTGTTATTCAAGAAAGCATCTCTGGGTGCTGTACTTTGTTTAAAGTGAGTTATGTGGAGCAGAATGGAATCTTCTGGCATAGTTCTTGCTTTGGCATTGCTATTTGAGTCAAGTAAAAAGTTACTTGGTACTAACGCTGCCAACTTCAAAAATTAGATTTTATAGGATATTGGAACCTTCATATTTTCCAGGAAGGGTTGGAGAGGGTGGGGGAACAAACCTGTTTATTGTTATTTTGGTGATATATATTTCATTCTCGAATGTCACAACAAATTGGAAAGCTTAATATCCTCATCTGCCAGCCCTGTGGAATGTGCTACAAGTTGTGGCTTCGAATCAATCTGCATGAAGCTGCTCATCTGATGTGTAGCTGAGCTTTTTCTGAGCTGTCATTCAAATCACTGCTATCATTCATGAAAAGGACGTTTTCTCTGGCTGCTCCTCAGCCAGCTCTGAGCACCAGCAAGGAGTGAATAACCTATGCAAGGCAGCTGTGTTAGGCTCAGCAGTGCCTTCAGGCCTCAGTGATTACACTTGACATGCCTGGTGTTCCAATTCATTGCATGCTGTGTGCGTGGGGACTCTTGCTCCGTGTTGTACATAATAATGGAGCCTGTACTCATTTGTGTGTGGATTTACCTTTTTTCAAATGCTGGGCATGCTGTCTTATTAGAGCAGGCTCTGCCAGTTGGCTGCACGCGGTACTGTGGTGCGCTGGGTGACACTGAGCTGGCTATTAACTAGATTTTTCGAGTTACAATTGTATGCAACGTTTAAAAAATAGGTGGTCATATCATATATCTGTTTCTTATGGCTTTCAATTTACTGAATAGTGTTTTTTGTTTGTTTGTATTTTCCCTGAAAGTGCAGTCTTTGTAAGCAACCCGCACTTAAAAGAAGCTAATGTGATTTGTCTTAAATCTTTAGGGGATGGGAAATTATGCAGAGAAGGGAAGGATGATAGCAAAGTAAGGTAACAAGCACACTTATTACAAGGTTTCTGCTCTGTCATTTAAAGATGTCTATTCCTTCTCCACTGAAATATAATCTTTAAACTGAGTATTTTCCTGCACAATAAAAATTTGCTTTCTGGAGGAGGGAATACAAATCTAGAATTCTTAAAAACAAAAAAGCTCCTCCTTCAAGCTATTCAGGTAGCTTTCTGTCTGAAGCTTCTAAAATTTGACATGAATCAATTTAAATTCAGTGTTTCTAAATTTAGGCAGATAGCCTGAACAATTTAGTTTTCAAAAAAGAGAAAAAAAGAAGGAAAGAAAATAGCTTCTAAACATATAGCAGCATCTGTGTAATTTTTGGAGTTGGAGGTGGATTAAGGAGCTTTTAAGTTGACTCTGCTTCTCCCAGTATGCACAGCACTTTCTTTGACAAACAGTTTTGTGGTAATGAGGGTAATAGTCTGATGTTGGAAACTAACTTTTGAGTTTTCTGAAGTGTGATCTGTTAGACATTAGTATGTCTAATGTCATTGTGAGTTTCTCATACAAGAACTGTATCTGCTCTGGCAGTGTAGCATTCAACATTTGCTTGTGCACGTCGCTACCTACATAAATGCAGGCCTTTCTGTTGGGACATGCATCCTGCTAGGAATTTTAAATGCCTGTCTATACTGATGAATAAATCTGGAGCATTTTTGTTAAATTTGGGTAGTGACAGCTAGACAAGCATAGAAGATGTCAGCTGTAGTTTGTGTCTAGGTACTGCTGTGTGGCTCTGCTGCTACAGTGTCCAGGTAAATGTAGGGAAAGGTAGGTATGCTTACTGATAGTGGTAAAAACTCTAGATTTTACTTCACCATTTGTTGAAGTAGGAATGAGTGGAATTTTCATAAAGTTATAGCATGTGGCTAAGGACATTGAAAGGGTATGTTACATTTTAAAAACAGACCTTTTTCATAGTTACTACTTTCCATTAATTGTTGTTGCTGAGTATCTGTATGAAAAATGTACAGATCACACAAAGTGATGCAGGAAGCAAGTAAGAATGGTAGAGCTGAGTTCTAACGTACTTATTGTAGTCTGTTTCTATAGGTATTTTTCTACCTACCTCTTCATATTAGAACTGATGCTCAAAAATGTCATTCCTTTCATGCTGCACACTCATCTCGTGTTTGTATATCATATGTAAAATACCTAAGAAAAATAATTTCAGGGTATTAACACAGGAATGTCTCTGATGGCTTGACGTGTGTTATATTTTTATTGAAGTTTGTGGGGTGTATATTAGCAAATTCTGGACAAAACATATTGAATCTTTGCTCTGATGGGTAAGCACTGAGTGCTTATAAAGCTACTATAGCTTCATCTTTCATATTCTTATTTAAGTACCTCCTTTACAGAGTAGTGTCATTTGGGCACTTCAGACCTCCATTTTCTTTGTTCTCTGCCTTCTCCTTTAATCTAATTTTAATAATGCAGAGCCCAGAATAACGAGCAGTGCATTACAAAGTTACCATCTTGAGTTGTAGTACTGTTTGAAAGGCTTGGAATCTGTGCTTTTCAGTTAAACTATAAAATGTCTCCCCCCATCATTCCCCCCTCACCTCCTCCCCCAATAAATTGCTAGTTTCGTTGCAATGGTACATCAGGCCTTAAGCTGTTCTTAACAGGAGTGTTGTTAACATGTCTATCTGTCCCCCCCACCCCTTATTTCTCCCACTTCAAGCTGCCCCACTGTTGCTGTATGCAAACCGCCGTGACCTGAGGCTGGTGGATGCTGCCAATGGGAAGGAGAATGCCACAGTAATTGTGGGTGGCCTCGAAGATGCAGCGGCAGTGGACTTCGTGTTCATAAAGGGGTTGATATACTGGAGTGACGTGAGTGAAGAAGCCATTAAACGAACAGAATTCAATAAATCTGGGAGTGTACAAAATGTGGTCGTTTCTGGACTTTTGTCACCTGATGGGCTGGCATGTGACTGGCTGGGAGAGAAATTATATTGGACAGATTCTGAAACAAATCGGATTGAAGTTTCTAATTTAGATGGATCATTGAGAAAAGTATTATTTTGGCAAGAATTGGATCAACCCAGAGCGATTGCCTTAGATCCTGCAAGAGGGTAAGTCTTTGTTAAAATGAAATGGTTACAAACGGGAATGTTTTTGCTGCTAGTTGCATGTGGAATGATTTTAAATAATCGGTGGTGCTGTTACTGAAATTATTCGGATCCATTTTGTGTTGTTGCTCTATTACTGTGATTTGAAAATAATTTGTACTTCTGAAATTATGTTCATGTCATTGAATTAATAGAAGTCATCAGATGTTCAAGAAGAGTACTAGAGGAAGCTTATTTTGGCAGTAGTGCAGATGGTGGACATAAATGTGGAAGTTCTAAGGTGAAAACAGATGTAATCTGCTTGAAAAAATCATCAAGCCATCAGACTTGTGTCTCACTGCAGCATCAAACTGGAGGTCTTTGTTCATTGTTAAAATTTATGCTTCCTGGAAACAGCAGGGAAAAATAGACTACAATAATAACATTTTGGGATGTATTTTGGCATGCTTTATCATTTAACCAAAGTTTATAGAGAAGTTCATCTTCTCACTCTACAGGGAACTTCTGTTAGGAAAAAACTGTGTTTTGGATTAGCTCGTTCTAGAACAAGTTTGATTCTTCTAATTTCAGTCTCTGTGTGTGATTTAAAGTATCATCTTTTTGCTCTGTTATTCTTGGGACTGAGCTGTGTGCTAAATTCAGTGGTCTTTTTGGTGACGCTTTGTAAATGGCTACCTTGAGGTTACCCGGTGTGTATATTTGTCATATTTGAGGTGACTGGCTCAGGAGAGTGAGCGACTAATGGAATATTGTTGATGCTTTGTAATCTTCTGAATACTGTTTTGTATAGATATTTATACTATTTTTTTTTCTTTTTTCCTTCTTAACAAGAAGATGAATTTATTATATTGCCACTTAAAGTAATTTTTTTCAGTCAGCTGTTTGGGTGTGGGGGGGGGAATCAATGCATTTTTTCCTTTACAAAGATAAGGACTGTTTTAGATGCTTGCAGCTTCTTTATAATGTGATCAGTTCAACTCATGTGTCTGGGTATTTCCTCCACAAAGGAAAAATGTCTTCTTGTTCAATAGGATTTCTTTTCTGAACTTTGTTAGGAATGCTGTAACCTCAATGTTTTCTTCTCAAGTTTCAACAGGCCTTTGATGATATGTTAAGAAATGCTTCCTTCGCATTATTTATATTTTTTTTAGCTTTTCAAATATTGAGAATGTGGACTTACTCTTTTCTTAAATCTTTACTACTTATAAATCAGAGCTGATGGTGGCATGGGTTCTACTAGATTCTAGGACCATTTAAAGATACAAGGAAAGACTTAACACATTCGTGCCCATTCCACTCACCATCCCAAAGCTGGGAGAGAAGGGAGGAAAAATAGAGTCAAAATGATTTTGATTTAGCTTGCGACCAGAGAGACAGTGGTTCTTATTAGTTATGAATAACACTTGTCAAGCCAGTTGGTCTTTTTGAGTGTTTGTATTTTCTGCGTACATGTGGTAATGCGTTCAGTGATCAAAACTAGGTGACAGTGTACTCTTGCAGTCTTTCAAAATACTCAAAGAGAAACTACAATGAAAAGAGTGAAATAGATTAAAGGTAAAGAGAACTCATAACTTCTCTTTTTCCATACTGATGATCTGTTAAATCAATAGGCAAAAACATTTCAATATGACTGCAGTTGTTTGGGGTTTTTTTGTTTGTTTGCTTTTATTTAAAAAAAAAAAAAAAAAAAAAAGCTGTAATTGAAGGAAAAGATTTTGTTTTCTTCTAAATCTTTTAATAAGTCAGTTTGTTAGCTGTTACTTGGGAAGTATGTTTTAGTGAGACAGAATGGTAATCCAGTGATACATCCACTTTGTCTTACCATACTGCAGATAAAAAAAAAAAAAAGAAACAAAAACCAAACTATTGCATTCTTGTATACAGCCTTATGGCAGAAAGCATTTCTGCTTTTAATAAATGCGGTGTCACTGCAGAATATCTTCCAAACTTTGACAAGTCAGTGGAAAGGTAACCTCAGTACAGGGGTTTATTTTTTTCTCAAATAAGTACCATTTGGTGCTTTAATTATTATTTATGTGAATGCACCTCTAATAGGTACTTTTTTTTTTTTTTTTTTTTAACCCCATAAATATGTTTAGATTACACATTGTTGTCTGGAGGACAGTAGCAAGAATAAGCCATAAAAATAGCTAATAGAATCTGAAACTTGGAAAAGCAAAACCCCTGTCATTTTCCTGCAATTTAGTCCATCTCCTCTTATTCACAATTGATGATTATTCCAAATAAAGATTTATGAGATCTTACCAAGTCATTACGTTATTTTGCAGCAAATTGTACAGTATGATTGCTATTCACAAGTTCAATTTTTTTGTTTAAGTTCATTTGACAAATATAGTTAATCTAAGTATTTCATAATCCAGTAATACCAGAATCTACTTATATATTTGGGACTTGGTTACATATGTATATACATATGTATATATGCATTTATCTTACTGAAAATGAGAATGCCTACTTAAAAAAAAAAAAAAGTTATTAATAGTATTAGCTAGCACAAATATGCAGTCATGTAAAGTGTGTTCTCTAGGCAGTGTCCTGTGTAGGAAAAAAATGAAGATCTTTTTAGCAAGTTGTGTGCTGTGGGATACTCGGCTGTCATTCTCTGAAAGTCTCTGCTCAGTGCTGTTGTAGTTCTGAAGAATGGGATCATTCACTTTCAGAGCATGCTTACAGCGACGATAATGGTGCAGGTAACCATCTGTTAATTGTGTGTGAGGTCGTATGTGTAACTGTGAAGTACCAGAGTAGAAATTAGACTTGGTGCCTGTGTCAGTTCACAGTAACTAGTACATTTGCTAATGGAAAACATTTCTCAATTCATAGTTGTGACACAGCCATCAAGTCTAACTTTTTACTCTGGTATTTTTGTCTAGGAAATCATCAGAATCTAAAATGCCTGGAGTCTTCTTACTAATCATCTCTTGTGTATGTTCAGAAGTCTAAGCTTCTTATTTCTCTATTTTCATGTAGTGCAATTTATTTTATGTTTTCCCATTTTGTTGTCTTGGCAGTCAATGAAACGTGCATGTACCAGGGGAGAAAAGCAACCTTAGATGAAGTAGGATTGCAATGCTTCTTCAGCCTTCTTTTGAAGTGGATTGAGGATTTTCAGAGCTGTTTCAGGAAGGCTTCTGGGTCCTTGTTGTCCTTTCTGACTCTGTTTTTTACAGACTAGTGTTAAACGTAATACCCTGTTAAGAGGATCAATAACTGAATAACACATACACTTTGTTACTAACTCTTGCTAGGGGAAAACCAGGTGGTAGACCACCTCATGTGCAAAAGAGCAGCATTTAGGAATTGTTTGCATGAAAGTAGACCAAATGGAAAAGAGGTTTTTCTACTTCGGTGTGCGTTTATAAATAAATAAAACATGCCACGTGTATTCAGATTCTCAAGCAAGTAGGGCTTGAAAATGCAGTATAGTAAATTTGTGCTGCTGTTTTTCTTATTTTATTAACCTTTACAGCCCTTTTGTTCTCAGGGAAGAGTCTTCATTATCATCATGAAAGTTGCCCCCAAATTACTCTTTAGACAACTAGATCAGCTTTATTCTTAGGAAGCACTATCAAAACTGTTTTTTCTCACTTCTGTCTGTATTGTTCACCACAGAAGGGAATTTTAAGTGCCTTCTAGAAGTGCTGACTAATTGCTTACTTTTCAGGATGTGTTTTAAATCAATTGACTATAGAGTTACTATAATTGTTCAACTCTTGTAAAGCATTCAGGTTGTAAAGGTTTTAAGCTAATGAATGGAATTAAGAGTACAAAGAGTACAGCACTTTTTTTGACAGCTGAAGTTGGCTTCTGAAATGCTTTGTATGTTGGGTAAGATCTTCAGATTCAACAGGCAATCCTCCCCCAGCAGACCTTTCTTATTTTTTTCATCTAAAACATTTCAGGGAATATATACGCTTCTCTTTTTATAGACCTGCTTATTTTGTTTCCTTCGAAATCTGGAAGCTTGCACCTAAGTTCATCAGGCCCAAAAAATTCTTGCAATTGCCATACAGGCCTTGAATCAGTGCTTTACAACAAAAAGATTAATGGGAACAGATTCTGTGTTGCTAAGCAAGGAAATGAAATTGGACAATTCTAATATTAGTTACAGTGTCTTGGATATTATGGAAAAAACATTTTAGGAATGAACAATTCACATTTTTTTGGTAAGACTTCTGTTTCTTGTTTGTTTACGAATGGGTCAACATTATTTAAAATGGCACCTCAGAGATATGTTCCAATAATTGAATAAATGAAGGCTTTGCTTCATGCCTTCTGTTGCCTGATATCACATCTCCCTTGAGCAGACTGCATCTGGCTGAAAATCTTTGTGGTGCTCCTTTATCGCCGCTGACATTTTCCACAGATTAATGCACTCTATTTAGTTATAGCCTGCTCTGTGACAATAAGTACTTAACTTTGAGGCTTTACAGGTGATTTATGAAAGCATTGAGCTGATATGAAATCTGCAGATTGTTGTGGTGTTGACACATCAATTTATAAGGTGTATTTAATCTTCATCTAAATAAGCATTTTTTTTTAATCAGGAGATGGTGGTTGTAAATGCAGCACTCTTAATGGGTTTGTTCATTTTGTATTAATGTTGTTATGAGGATGTTGAGGCTGGTATTTTTTGTTGTTTGCTTTTTTTTTTTTTTTTAAGACCAAATGAAAAGTAAATTCTGGTGACAGCTAGGAGGTTAAAGAAACCAGAGTGTCGATTTTGGCAACTTAAAAATGAAGTTAAGCCGAAAGATTGCAGAATAGTACCACACTGGTTGTCCTGCTGACATTACATCAGGATTGTCTTGGCTCTTGAGCCGGGTGGAACTCACGAGAGATCTAAAATGCAGCACCAGTGTCACTCGATAATTGGATGATCCTAGTGAGGGTCCTGTTGGCTTTGTGCTGCAAAGCACGTGGAGCCTTCAGGAAGCCAGCATGGCAGTTGAAACAGCCTTGCCAGCTTCTCCAGAACTACT